GGTTCATTCTTGGTTAAAAAAAAAAAATGCATCAGCCTGGTGAGGGATGTAGGTAATAGGAGACTGTGTGTAGGTGATAGGAAATCTTTGTACCTCCCTCTCAATTTTATTGTAAACCCATAACTTCTCTAAAAATAAAGTTTTTAATTATTTTTAAAGTTCTTACCTGAAATGTTTTTATTGAGTTGAGAGAGAGAGAGAGAGAAAGAAAAAGAGAGAGAGAAAAAACACTGACATGAGAGAAAGATTGATCCATTGCCTCCTGCACATGACCAAACCCAGGATTGAACCCCAAACCTAGATTGTGTCCTGACCAGGAATTGAACTCAAAACTCTCAGTGTATAAGAGGATGCTCCCATCAAATGAGCCACCTGGCCAGGGTTAAAAAGAAAAATTTTAAAAGCAAACAAACAAACCCCCACACACACACACCAATCTAGTCTATGTTTATGCTAAGAATTAATACATAACTAGTTAGAAATGTAAAATTAACTGGATTTTATTATTTTTGTTTCTGTTTTTAGGATTTAATTATAATCAAACCTTTCTTTCCTATTAACAAAGACAATTTGATCCCCATTTTAAGTAGATTTACTTTCCAAATCAGGGTGCCAGGGTCCTTGTGCACCTGGGGTCCTCCCGGTTTTCAGTTTGTTTTGGTCGCTCTCCATGTGCCGAGCAGAAGGATCTGGTGCTCCGGGCAGCAGCCCGCCCCATGTGAGGGAGGCCGGTTTTGCTGGCCTCGCCTAGATTTCCACCTGACTCCAGCCAGCTCTTTGGTATATCGGATCGGGAGAGGTTAAGGGAGTCCGCTCTCTGCTTCCAAACCACCTGCCTCTGGGGTGGGCCTGCTTCTGTCATTTCCGGCCTGTGTCTTTTGACAAATGGGCCTCAATACTGGTGTAGAGCCCTCCTTTCCCCGAGATCCCTAGGCCTGGCCTCCCTCCTGGGTCTGTCCTTCGTGCAAATACAGACACTTCACATCCAGTCGCAGACCATGGTGTTGCTTCCTGGTAGAAGTGTGGGTGAGAGGGGCAGATAAAGCAGGTTTCTGAGATTGGGGGACAGCTGTAGTCATAGAGGAAAACAAGCAGGTATGTAAGCACTGAAGAACAATATCAGCGCTGCCGCCAGGCCAGCCTGCGTCTCATTTCTGAGGCTTCGGCGCCTTGTAAAAATGGGTTTCCCTTTCTTTTTGTTATTTCTTTTATGTTCTTTCATTTTCTCAACACAGTGTGCTGTGATCTGATTTAGCCCTTTACTGATACTGTCTCTGGCTTCTTGTTTTCTCATGCCTTCTTTTTCCTGTCTTAGTTTTATTCTAATTGCTCATTTGTTTCCTTTAATATTCTTAGTTTTTTCATTTCTTATGAATTTTCTCTCTTTCCTTCTATTTCCCCCTCCATTCTTGTGCTGGCTGATAACCCACAGATGAAATGCTTCCTGTGTGCTTGTCATGTGGGTAGAGTGTTAGCTTTGGTAAATGGTTGCCCAGCTACGGGGTGAGAAGCGGGAGTGCTGTGGTTTTCTCTTTCCAAAAACTTTCTGACACATGGAACCACTTGCTGAAGAAAAGAAGGTGGTTTGGTGGGGACGAAACTCTCACAGACAGTCTTCTAGTTGAACACAGACAGCGGACCTTATTGTATTTTGGACTTCATTTGGGGATCTTCTCTCCTCTCTTCTTTTTCATTGGATGTCAAGAAAGTGGCTCCCAGGCCAACCTGAGCAAGTTAGTGACACAGCAAGGCTGGGATTGGTCTCTCCCAGTTCCTCATTATTTTCCAGGGTCCATGTGCCCTGTGACACCATGACTGCCCTTTCTATTTGAAATTCCTCGTCAGCCATAGCAGAACTATTGGATTAAATAGACTGACATAATTTACCCCCGCCCCCAATAACCTAATTCTTGACGGTTATTCTCTAGATCAGATTCTTCAATTGTTTGGTCTCAGGATCCCTTTATACTTTTTTTGAGAAAATATTTTATTATGCTAAAAACATATAATATGAGGTCTAAAGTCTTAACAGATTTTTAAGTATACAAATAATGTTGCTAACTACAGGCACTATGGTGTCCAGCAACCATATCTCTAGAATGTGTTTATCTAGTAGAAGTGAAACTCTACACCCACTGAGACGCAACCCCCCACATCTCCCCTGCCCAGCCCCTGGCAGCCACCATTCTATTCTTCGAGTCTATGAGTCTGACCATTTGAGATTCCTTACAGAAGTGGAATCATGCAGCATTCTCCATTGTGCATTCTTGGCACTCTTGTTAAAAACCAACTGACCATATACATGGTCTGACTTATTTCACTTGGCATATTATCTTTCAGGTTTATCTGTGATGTCTCAGAATGCAGGATTTCCTTCTTTTTGCAGGCAGAATAGCATCCCATTGTAATATATACCACACTTTAAAAATCTATTTATCCATCAATGGACATGTTTTTACTTGCGAATAGTGCTGCAATAGAGGCTGTGCCATTTTATATTCCTACCTGCCATGTAAAAGGGTTTCAATTTCCTTATATTCTCACCAACAATTATTTTTCTCTTTTTATTTTATTTTGTAATAGTCATCCTAACAGATGTGAGGTAATATCTCATTGTGATTTTGATTTGCGTCTTTTCATGTATCAGTTGGCCATTTGTACATCATCTTTAGAGAAATTTCTATTCAACTCTTTATCCCATGTTTTCAAATTAAATAATTAGTTATTGGGGTTTTTTTGTTTGTTTGTTTTTGCTATTGAGTTGCAGGAATGCCTTACATATTTTGGAAATTAATCCTTCCAAATGTTTGCAAATGTTTTCTCCCATTGTATAGGTTGCCTTTTTACTATGTTCACTGTTTTCTTTGCTGTGAGGAAATACTTTAGTTTGGTGTAGTTTCACTTGTCTATTTTTCCATTTATTGCCTATGCTTTTGGTGTCATATTCAAGAATCATTGCCAAGGTTAGTATCATGAAACTTTCTCCTATGTTTTCTTCTGGGAGTGTTAAATAGTTTCAAGACTTACATTTAAGTCTTTATTATTTTGAGTTGATTTTTATACATGGTATAAGAGAAAGGCCCAATTTTATTCTCTTCTATTGTGTTTTTCCAAGGACATGTGTTGAAGAGACTATCCTTTCTCCATTGTGCATTCCTGGCACTCTGGTTGTAGATCAGCTGACCATGTATATATGGATTTATTTCTGGGCTTTCCATTCTCTTCCATTGGTCTGTATTTTTGTCTTTTTGCCAGAAACAGGTTGTTTTAATTATTGTTGCTTTGTAGTTTAGTTTGAAATCAGGAAGTGTGGCACCTCCAACTTTGTTCTTTTTCAAGCTTGTCTTGTCTATTGTGGCACTTTGTGGTTCCATACAAATTTTAGAATTGTTTTTCCCCAGTTATTCTTTTAAAAATGATTGAAGACCCCAAATAGTTTTGTTCTATAAATATTTATTGTGATAGAAATGAAAACCAAACAAAATTTAAAAGACCAGAATTTACAAGCACATAACATACATCCCAGTGACTATCAAAGACTCTGAAAAATCTCTACTATATATTCTTATAGGATAAGAGTGGATTTATAATATACATATTCTTATATAATGAGTTAAAAAAGTAAATTACATTTTAATATGACTATTAAAATTGGTGTGATCTTTCAGGTCTAAGAGGAGGATACAGGAACCCTTTGGGATCTCAAGCCACACAATAAAAACTGCTGTTTGAGGCACCTAATGATTATGTACTAAGTGCTGTGTGCTGGGTATTCCAGCTATGATGATAGGAAGGTGGGGGAATATTGGAGGACTCTGTAGTTACCCAGGAAGTCATAAAACTCAGGGTTTTTACTTTATGCATAAGACAACTCATATGTCTAAAAAATGAATTTATGTATATATTCAATGAAGATGATTTGGTATCTCTTTTATGAATAATAAAATCTTAGTTGGCATTATTATAATCTAGACTAGAGGCCCAGTATATGAAATTTGTGCACTTGCGGGAAGGGGTGGCAGGGTCCCTCAGTCTGGCCTGTGTCCTCTTACAACCTGGCTTCTTATTTTTAAAAAAAAATATATTTTATTGATTTCTTACAGAGAGGAAGGGAGAGAGATAGAGAGCTAGAAACGATGAGAGAGAAACATCGACCAGCTGCCTCTTGCACACCCCCTACTGGGGATGTGCCCGCAACCAAGGTACATGCCCTTGACCGGAATCGAACCTGGGACCTTTCAGTCCGCAGACCGATGCTTTATCACTGAGCCAAACCGGCTTTGGATCTTTTTAAAAAATATATATATTTTATTGATTTTTTACAGAGAGGAAGAGAGATGGATAGAGTGTTAGAAACATCAATGAGAGAGAATCATTGATTATCTGCCTCTTGCAAACCCCCTATTGGGGATGTGCTGCAACCAGTGTACATGACCTTGACCGAAATAGAACCCAGGACCTTTCAGTCCTCAGGCCAATGCTCTATCCACTGAGCCATACCGGTTTTGGCCAGCCTGGCTTCTTGGCAAAGTGGTGCTCTCACTAGGAATGCACTGACCCTGAGGGAGCAGTTCCAGCATGGAGCATCTAGCCCCTGGTGGTCATTGTGCATCATAACTACTAGTCCTTATGCCATTCGATTTATTTGCATATTAGCCTTTTATTATATAGGATATTTGATACTCAGAGTCAGTGTGTGAAACAGCAGCCCATTCAACCTCTTGATATGATCACTTGTGACATTCAACCACTTGATACAAGCATTAGAGCTTTTGATGTTTCTTGCTATGTGGTTAACCAAGTAAAAGTTAAGAGATATGTGTGAGCACATCCTTTCAAAAACCTTCTTCTTAGAAAAATGTGGTATAAAGCTGTCTGTAATTCCTGAAACTATGTTAAATGACATCACCAATCTTTCTGATGGCATTTTCTGAGTAGCTTCTACCCTTCCATTAAAAAAATTGAGGACTTAAGTATAATCAATGTCTTCTTCTTTTCAGATAGTTTTGAGATAGCTGTGCCGTCGGATAGCCATGTGGTCTCAGAACCTGGAGAAAACATCACATTCATGTACGAACTTCAAACGAAGGATCCCATGCAACAAGTCACATGGGAAAAGATCCAGTCCCATCAGATTGACCTCCTAACCAGATGCAACTTGTCCCAAGGGAAAATCTCCCCCTCAAGGTTTAGGAGACAAATACTGAGCAACTGCAGTCAGGGGATGAGAAGGAGCTTTATCCTCATGCCCCATGTCGTGGCCTCTGACTCCGGACTTTACCGCTGTTGCTTCAAGGCCAGCACAGGAGAAAATGAAACCTTTGTGGTAAGGTTGACTATAACTGACGGTGAGTATTATATATGACAGAGGCCTTCTCCTGTCAAAAACGAAAAACACCAAACCACTGTCGGTTGGTTTCTGTTGTCTTTTCTATAACTCTATTGTTCAAAATATTTTTTAAAAATTGATTTGAGAGAGAGAGAGGGAGAGAGAGAAATATGAATTTGTTGTTCCACTTATTTATATATTCATTGGTTGATTCTTGTATGTGCCCTGACCGGGGATTGAACCCACAACCTTGATATATTGGGATGATGCTCTAACCAACGGTGCTACCTGGTTAGGGTCAAAATATTTTTTAATGAATGGGTTTAGGTAAGTTGTCAGTTATTGAATGGTAGTCTTTATCTTACTAATCCATCAATCACAGATTTAAAAATAAAAAATCTTTTCCGTTTTCTTGATTTGTCCCATATTCCTGAAATTAAACAAAAAATTCAGGGAGTCTGAAAAAATACATGGTCTCACCAGCTTGTAATTTCCAGCTGTATACCTTCTATTTTTCAGTTGCATTAAAACTTTTGAGGGTGGTGACTAGGTTTCATAATCCTCATATAACCTCGGCAATAACAAGAAGCTGCTGGATTAGTGTTTGCTGAGTCAGTGTTGTGTTGAGTGGAAATTTAATAAATGTTTGATAATAGAGTTGCTTCTTTGACACATTGGAGCTTTGAATCCCTCAGCTCTTTCAGATCTGTGAGCAGAAGCAAGCTGGCCCTGACAAGGTTGAAGCTGAACTCCAAGGCCTCTTAGCTGAGCGAGTTCCTTCCAGGGCCGAGTACTCACATTGCATTAGTAATCTGTTTCCTGGGGTCCTAAGCTTACCTATGTGAGCTTTAGGCCTCACAAAAGCCATGGAACAGTAAGAAAAAATGATTTTTTGCTTGCTGAAGTGCAAACGCAGGAAGACCAGCCACTCTAGAAGTCTGTGTAGTGGCCTGGGTTACAACTGAGTGTGAGAAAGGCCATCCCAGGCTTCCCTGATTTGTCCTCTGGGCACATTTTCTCATTGCAGAGGGACATATTTAGAGAAAATAATTTATTTTTATTGGTGACAGAAATTCTTCTTCCCTCCCTCCTTTCTTTCCTTTCTTCCTTCCAGCCAGCCATCTTTCTTTCTTCTTTGCTGTCATCTGCTTCCAGGAAGCCCATGTGCCTTGCTTGTGTATAAACTTTTAAAGCTATGGCTTCTTAGGATTTGGCTGTCTCTTTATGGATAGTTTACGCTGCAACCCGCTGCTTCTTCCTGCCCTGGGAAGGAAGATAAAAAGATTTTGTAAACACAATGGCCTGTTTGTGCTAAGCAGGATATTTGACAGAGAACAGCCCTCTGTCTACAGCAAGGGTAGGGCATGTCTGGCCTGTGGGCCATGTATAAGGCTGGCCAAATCATTTGGTTTGGCCCAACCAAGGCATTAGGGGTGAGTTAATTAAATGTTTGACCAAATATAGCAGGCTAATTTTTAAGTTAATGATTTTTGTATGGTCTGTGAGTGATATTATAAATATTCAAATGGCCCTTGGCAGAAAAAAGGTTCCCCACCCCTGGTCTACAGTCACGTTGGATCACATCAAGCCGCCTTTGCTCCTCTTAATGACAGGGGTGGAGGTGGGTTGGGGAGTTGTGGGATGCACATTCTTTTCAGAACTTGATGCAAAACAAGGTTGATGAGCCATTTGGAAGAGAAATTTAACTGAGATTCTTCACTTTAAATGTTGACTTCATTCCTTTAGACACATATAGACACTATTTCTTACCTAAACATAACCTTGCACTGCAGAAGTATTTTTTAAACCTGCCCACATAAAAGAAAGACTGAGCATAGTCACTAATCTCCTTTCGGGACCAAGGCAAGAAAATGGTCTATTCAGAAAAATGTCATAAAGAACCATTTTCAAATACCAATGAAATAAGACCTTGTCCATTATATGTTGAAAAAGTGATTATAAACATCTTAAATCATGGAGAAAATGGGGTAATAGATATTTAGGAGGTATAGTTATTTAACTCTTACTAATTAAAAAAAAACTTTCTCTTGTCAAAACATGATTAAGTTTCTTGCACAAGATGATTTATTTTCTTTGTACAGAAGCTGGTAACACTGTTGAATATGAAAGCAACTGAACGTAATGGGCAGCATTGTTAGTGTCCATTTGTTTTGAAAACCCACAGGATGGTTTTCTGAGATTCAGGGGCAGGTTGAAAGAATGTCAATAGGGCCTATTAGTTAGCAGTAATCATTGACAGAAGGTGACAGCTGTTGACTGTATGCTTTGGTCTCATTCTTTTTTAAAATAATCATAAGTATGTATTGAATATTAAAAATCAGATGGAAAGCAAAACTAGAGTGCATGTATTTTCTCTGGTGTGATTTGATTGTTTCAAAGCTTGAGGCTGTTTAGTAAAAAAATCAATGTAGAGCTAAAAGCAGAGAGACAGGTGTAAGATGTAGAGCAGATTTAATTTATCTCAACTGTCAAGGGAAAGGTGATTGTGACACAATTTTTAATAAATTGCTCTGCATCCTTTGTTACCTCCATCTTTATAGCAGGACTCATATTCCACACACACACAGAGCTCTTCCCTGACATCTGTCTGCCTTTGTTCATATTCCGACAAGTACTGTGTGCTCATAGGTCACCCAAGAGATGACACAATGTCAACCTATATGTTATATAGCCAGGCCTTGATTTATTTTGAAGAGAGAGAAAGTGGCAGAAGCATGAGTTAAACCAGAATTTACTATGGATTTTCTTTGTTAAATTAAAAGAAATACGTGTCTCCTGTTCTTGGATCCCAGGCTCTGAGAAGTAGGAAATAGTTCCAGACTGACTCTTCTGCATTTGAAATTTGTCTAGACCACAGGGGCAAGGATCAGGGGAAAATGTGTGCATACAACTGTGACCAAAATTATTCTCGGCTCTTAATATTCTTTGGAATTTCATTAGTCATAAGAAAAGTATTTTAGTTTCCACCGAAAGAATTTTTAATGTCTTTTAATATTAGCTAAATGATGTTCAAACTACTATTGTTTTAACTGAGCTTGTTGATTATGAAAAGAGGAGAATCAAAGAAATGAAATCAGCTCTTTCAGGAAATTTCTGGGGGAGACGATTTTAAACAAACTTCCATTGGCCACTGCTGAGCAGTAGTATAGTTTACTCAGGTCCTTCTCCACTATTCTACCAATGAGCCCACTCAACTGAACCATCAAATTTCAAATGAGACATTGATGATCAGAGTAGAGAAAAGAGACAAAACCGGGGACAGGGAGTAACAGGAAGTAAGGATGAGAGGACGAGGAAGCTGTGTGTGAGTGACTGGCTAGGTGGGTACAAAGATTCTGAGTTACGGGTTAACATAGAAGGTGACAGGCACAATTAAGTGATACCTTGTTGAAATTCTGGATCTCATTATGAGCAATGAAAACCACTGTCAATTCTTTTTTGTTTGTTTTTGGCCATTATCAATTCTTGACCAAAGATGGCAAAATAATATTCAAGGAAGTGTAAGTCAAATAGTTACTGTGTATAGAATTATGAAGTGAAATTCAAGGCAGAGGAAATGAGCTAAGAGTTCAATAGCACATGAATGATGGTGCTCTCAAACTAGGCTTCAAGGGAGCCCACTCAGGTAGACAAATTTCAAATGACACCTCCTCCAGGCAGATAAGTTAAGAACAGGCGCCCCTTTCTGGGCTGATGCAGACTCAAGCTTTGAACAGGTTTGCTGGTGGCCCACGGGTCTTTTATCCACCTTGGCACATGTTCTATGTATGTGAAGATAATGGGCTCAGAGGGGAGAGAGAAGTTGGTCTGATAGAAATGTCAGCTGTGCTTGCCACCACCTGGATAGTCATTCACTCTACTATTTTCTCCTTTTCTTAACCAACCTATCAACTTTTGACACATTTACCTTCTTTCCTTTAGCATTTCCATCAGATCTCACCACCTTCAAGATTTTCCACACTGGCCCACACTGCTCCCCACTCATTGCACCATTATGCATCTTGAATTTCTCAAACACTTATAACTTGGAAATTTATATGCTTGAGTCACTGCATCTATTTGCAGCAGTCTAGATTCTTATATTAGAAATTATTTGAGGTATCAAATTTTGGCATCTCTGCTTAAAGTTGTCAGATCTTTCCAGAATTTGTATAATGCATGCTCTTGGTTGATTCCTTCTATGTTAATATTTATATGTATTCTAGTAGAGACTGTGTCCATTTTGTGTTTCAGTTTTCTAGCTAGAGTAGGTCTATATTTTTTTCATCAATACTGGACATTTTCTGTTTAGTGATTACTGATCAAAGATACCTAAACACTTAGATTAATTGCATTATTTGAGAAGAAATTTTCATGAACTTCGTTTGCATTTATATCTTTCAAAAAAGGTCTATTTCCTTTTTTATTTTTATTTTTCTTCTTTACCATATTTTCTGTAAATAGTACATATTTGTTGGTCTCCCTGGTCTAGAGAATGAGGTTTAAAAGGAAGGCGGCAAAAGTATTCAGTAGGAAAACATGGGGCCAGAGTCAAGAGAGCCTTCCCATAGATTGCTTCCATGAGGTTTAGAGTTCATTAATCCAGAATGTTCTGTTCCACTCCTGGGACTTTATAATAGATGTGAACATTGTAGGCATAGAAGTTGTCTGATCTGGTGTGCATGGGGCTGCCAGATGTGCCCATTTCCCTGGCACAATGTGATAGACCTTGGCCTCTCATTATCTTCACATACACAGAACATAATGTGCATGATGGCTAGTTCATATGACGGAACCATAGACCAGAGTCCCAGAGCACGGCCTACACCTCCCACCAGTTCACACAGCCTCCGACGAAACAGATCAACCACGATGATCCAGCCAATGTAGTGATGTTTTTAAGATTCCAGGCAACAACTGGTATCCAGATGAAACAGTTTCCATCATCACAAGCAAGCTGATTACTCAATCATGGCCTATTATGTCCTTGGCTCTGCTCAAATCTGTTTTTTCAGGAGA